GGTGGGAACTACGGTGACAGACTCCCAGGCCCGTCATGGCGGAGCCTTGGTCAGGACAGGAATTGCAGGCTCTGCCCGCCACGGTGCTGGGTATGCTAGGTTCCCTGGGCAGCGAGTTCCTCAAGGAGTGGGAGGCGCAGGACATGCGCGTGACCCTCTTCAAGCTGCTGCTCCTGTGGTTGGTGTTAAGTCTCCTGGGCATCCAGCTGGCGTGGGGTTTCTACGGGAACACCGTGACCGGGTTATATCACCGCCCAGGTGAGGCTCCCTAAGAACCTCCGTGGGCTGCCTAACCCATTGGGGTCCCCCCCCCAGGGCTCCCCTAAACTATCACTGGCTCTCCAAGGCCCTCATTAGAACTTAACTCAGGGGCCTGGGAAGGTGGCTCAGTGGTAGAGCGCTTGCCTTGCATGCCTGAGGCCCTGGGTTCGATTCCTCAGCACCACATAAGCAAAAAGAAAAAAGCCGGAAGTGGCGCTGTGGCTCCAGTGGTAGAGCGCTAGCCTTGAGCTGAAGAGCTGAGGGACAGCGCCCAGGCCCAGAGTTCAGGCCCCATGACCAGACCCCCCCCCAAAAAAACAAACAAAGAACTTAACTCAGTTCCCTGACCCATGCCATCTTACTCTTTCAAGACTCCCCACCAGTCCACCCATCACATTTGCACCTGTTTCTCAGAACCATGACCGTAGAACCCGCCCTGGGCTGCTAGGTGTAGTAGCTTTGACATGTTTCTGCCTCCAGGTCTGGGCGGCCAAAATGGATCCACACCAGACGGCTCTACTTACTTCCCTACTTGGTGAGTAAATCTGTTCCCTTACTCCATCCAACCTCATGCTTGGCAGACAAAAGACACTCCTGTGCTGGTGATAGGGTGAGGAATTCTCAGGGTGAGTCCAACAGCCAAGTAGTCTTTGCAAGCCTCCTCCAAATCCAGATGTACAGCTTAGATTTCAGGTTGGAGTGACACAAGCATCTGGAGAGTCCTTCATCAATAACCAGTAGGGTGGGCTGGGAAGGTGGCTTAGTGGTTAAAAGCGCTTGCTTTGCATGCCTGAGGCCCTGGGTTCGATTCCTCAGCACCACATAAGCAAAAAGAAAAAAGCCGGAAGTGGCACTGTGGCTCAAGTGGTAGAGCGCTAGCCTTGAGCTGAAGAGCTGAGGGACAGCGTCCAGGCCTAGAGTTCAGGCCCCATGACCGGACCCAAAAAAAATAAATAAATAAAATAACCAGTAGGGTGGATGCTGGTATTGTCTTAATTTCAGAGATATAACTAGTCTTTAGGGAGCAAGCTCCTCATCTGGAATGTCTGAGTTAGGAAAACAAGTGCCTCCATTTCTTTTTTGGTCAGTCGTGGGGCCTGAACTCTGAGTCTGGGTTCTTCCCCTCAGCTCTTCAGCTCAAGACTAGCACTCTATCACATGATCCACAATACCACTTCTGCCTTTTTCTGCTTATGTGGTGCTGAGGAATCGAACCCAGGGTCTCATGCATGCAAGGCAAGCACTTACCACTGAGCCACCTTCCCAGCCCGAGTCTCCATTTCTAAGCAAGTGTTATACCACTGTCCCTACGTACTTCTATTCTTAGCACACCAGCTGACCTCATTGTGTCAGCCTCCTCATTCAAACAACTAATCAGGACATTCATTCAGCTTATCTCTGAACCTCTACCACACAGTAGAAGTCTCTCTATAGGCCCAGAAAACAAGAAGGACAACTAAGGCTTGTCTCGCAGGAGTAATGAAAGGTTTATAAGAGAAGCAAGTGGACATCTGTAATCCTAGCACCCAGCAGACAGAAGCATGAAGATTGGAAGTTCAAGATCCATCTGGGTTACATAGTTTGAGGCCAGTCTGGGAACACAAAAGACCCTGTCTCATATGTGTGTGCATGGGTGCACGTTATATATGTGTTTATGTACATATATATATATACGTATGTGTGTATAGATATATGTATATAGCATGTGTGCATATGTATTGTGTGAGTGTGTGTACATTAGCCAGGCTCTGGTTTCACATGCCTGTATTCCTTAGCTACCCTAGAAGGTAAGATCTGAGGATCCCAGTTCAAAAACTAGCCAAGGCAGAAAAGTCTTAGCTGCAGAAACTCTTAGCTCCAATTAGCCACCAAAATGCCAGAACTGGAAATGGAGCTCAAGCAGAGGAATGCCAGCCTTCAGTGAAAAACCAAATGAATGCGCAAGACCCCGAGTTGAAGCCCCAGTACTGGCAGAGAAAATGTCTGCTTATGCGTGGGAATGTGGCTTGGTGGGTTCCATTCCTCAGTACCACATACACAGAAAAAGCCAGAAGTGGCACTATGGCTCAAGTGGTAAGAGTTCTAGCCTTGAGCAAAAGAAGCTCAGGGACAGTGCCTGGGCCCTGAGTTCAAGCCCCAGGACTGGCTAAAAAAAGTCTAAATTGTGACTGGAGATATGGATGAAGTGGTAGACAACATCAGCTTTTAAGTGTGAAAGCCAAATAACAGCACAAGGCCCTGAGTTCAAGCCCTCGTGCTTGCATAAACAAAGACAGATTAGATTGTAATGCAGCCTTATAGAGCCCAGCTTAGCTGTCTAGAGGCTAAGGAGAGCCAATCTCAGGGGAATATTCTGCTGAACGTAAAATAACCTTTCTCTTCTCTCCACCGCTTTCAGGGAGATTGCAACAAATGAACCTGTCAAAACTCACAGAGAATAAGGGAAGACAGCAGCAGAAGGGTCTCCAGAATCATCACAGGGGTCTGCTGGCTCCTAGATCCTGGGGGACAACTACAGAGGGGCTCAGGGTTGGGGGCAGAAAGTAACTCAGTGCTTGCAGGGCAAGCCTCAGTTGCCGATAGCCTTGCTTTCAACAGCCCCCTATGTATTGGGCGAGTGAAGAGTTTGCCTCTCCCCTGGTCTCAGTGCCTTAAGGAGAGATGACATGTCCTCTCAGGGGTTAGAGCTTAAGAGAAGCCTTTCAGTTGGGGAAGCTACCAGTCCCTGTTCTGTCTTGGCTTTCTTTTTTTCCCCCTTGTCCTTTTCATTCCTCTGGGGATATGACCCTATAGGGATTTGTCCTTCTCAGAGGAAGCCTGAAGTTGACCAGTGCTGTGGTTTGTAAGGGAAGTCTGTTCTCCTGTAGGCCCTGAATTTCCATGGTTTTGCTTTGTTGACAGGGGAGCCAGGTAATTCTAGCCTGAGCCAAACCTTCTACTGTTTAACTTAGCTGACCAGGTGTAAGGCAAAAGTGCCTTTATTGGCACTATCCAGAGGGAGGCACCAAACATCCACCTCTTGGGTCCAACCAGAGCTCCAGGGATGAGCCAGGGAAAGGAAGTTGTTCTTTCCTGACTAACCTTAAACTTCTATTCTTCTTGTGGGAGAGATTGGTGCCTGAAAGAAGTGAGCCTTCCAGTCTCCTATCTTAGGTGCCAGATTTTTGGGGGTCTCTACCCACTCCTGGGGAGATATTAAGCTGTTAGTGCAGAGTAATTCCATTAAGCCCTACAGCCTCCTCAGTTCCTATTTTACCCTTACGAGCCCACTAGCAACCTTTTAGGCCCTCAAAAGAGTCAAAAGACCCAAGCAGACCTTCACCTGGTCTAGACTCCCTTCAGCCAGTGGGTTAGAGGAGGTTCCAAAGGGGGAGGAGACAAATGCCCCCAGAGAAATACTACTTCCTGTAGTCCCAAAGGCATGATGTGTCCCTCCCTGCACCTGCCTCCTTCCCTAATAGTGGTACTTTCTGCCTATCTCTGCTGGACAGCTACCTCACTGTCCCACTTGCCTGCTTGTCCTCTACAATGTTACACACATCCATCCGACAGCCTCTGACTAGGCAGACTTCATGGCAGGTGCACTGGAAGTCCCTGTGGACTCCTCATGTCCACATACCTACTCCAGAGACATCTCTGGACTAGGAAGAAGGTCCTCTTCATAGCCTCAGGCCCATCCACCAATGCCACCATACAGAATCAGGGTCTGACATTGCATCCCCAGGCTCAACTTGAAGATGTGGCTTATTAAACACAGAAATGCATCCATTGTGTGGTTATTCCAAAGAGGTCAAATGTGCATGCAAGGGGCAACTGGTAAGAGAACATGCTGGAGGCTGATCCCTCAGGATCCCAAATGCCACAGTTTGCAGGGGTAGAGAGAGGTGTCCAGTAGCTGAAATACTCCCATTTGTTCTTTCTTTGACAGTAGGGCTTTAATTCAGAATTTTGTATCCATTGAGTCAACCCCTTCTCCTCCCCCCCTCCCCACCCTTAGTTATAGATCTGGCCCCACGCATATAAGAACCTATTCCAAGACAGTGTGGCTTAGGAAAGGCAAACATTCTTGAACTAGCACCCCAGGAACCCTGTGGACAAAAATACAATGAGGCTGAAGACCATGACAAGGCAGGAAACCCCTTTAATTTCCTTCCCTAGTGATTATAAAGTCCAGTTACAGGCTCAGGTTACAGGTTAGCCCAGGTAGTAAGCCTGTGTAGCTTGCTACTAGGCAACAGACTTAAGTTGACTGGGAATGTGGAAGGATGAGTCCGTGATCACTCAGCCATCCCCAAGTTTACCCACAGGAAAAACTGCCAGCACTGTACGCCAAGATTCCGCTCAGAGAGAGGCAATAGTGTGTATTCATGGAAAGCGAAGTGGAGGAGGCAGCCTTCAAACCACACTGCCCATGGCAATAACCCTTTGAAATACGAGAAACCTTGGTAAGGTAGGTTGGGCAGGTGATTTCCTTCTCCACCAAGGTAAGCAGGATCAGAATGAACTGGGATATTAGATGAGCTAATCTCACACTTATAAGTGGGGTCCTGGGGCTGGGAATGTGGCATAGTGGTAGAGTGCTTGCCTAGCATGCATGCATGAAGCCCTGGATTCCATTCCTCAGTACCATATACACAGGAAAAAGCCAGAGTTTGGTGCTGTGGCTCAAGTGATAGAGTAAAAGAAGCTCAGGGACAGTGCCCAGGCCCTGAGTTCAAGCCCCAGAGAAGAAGGAGGAGGAAGAGGTAGAGGAGGGGGGGAGGAGGAGAGGGAGAGGAAGGGGGAAGGGGAAGGAGGAGGAGACGTGTATAGATAGCTCCTTCCATCCAACTAGAGCAAACCACTCACTTGCCCATCCCCATCAAGTTCTGCCTCCTAACTTAAGTCTTGTATGATTCCCTCCAGAGCAAGGCTCCTGGAAGGGAGAGCCCCTCCCCTGACTCATCCTCACTTGAGGGTATAGTAGTTGGTGGGCACAAAGGGCATTTTGCTGACAACGGCCATCTGCTGCTTCCGCCGAACCTCTACCAGCAGCTGTGTCCCTGGCCGGCTGAACTTAGAAGGCACATAACCCATTGCCACGTTCTTCTTGAGGCAGGGTGAGGGACAGCCACTTGTCACAGTACCTGTTCAAACACAGAGCATGGGTTATTGTCAACCTGCCAGTTCAAAATGCTCACCTTTCCTGGAGAAAAGGTTTTCCCGAACCACCTTACCAATCACAGTGCCATCGGTGCTCAGGATGGGACTGTGTGCCCGCACTGGGGCCCCTTCACATGTCAACCCCACACGCCTCTTCTGCAGCTCGCCCTTTAGTTGTGGTACAATAACCTTGGCCCCTGGGAAATCCATAGCAGACCGGCGGCGCTTGCCTGAAACAGAACATACCAGATCTAAGCCATAGTACTTTTTTGTTGTTGTTATTGGTCATGAGGCTTGAACCCTGGGCCTGGGCACTATCCCTGAATTCTTCTGCTCAAGGCTAGCGCTCTACCACTTGAGCCACAGCTCCACTTTGGGTTTTCTGGTGGTTCACTGAAGATAAGAGTCTCACAGACTTTCCTGCCCAGGCTGGCTTTGAACTGCAATCCTCAGATCTCAGCCTCCTGAGTAGCTAGGATGGCAGGCAAGAGCCACCGGCGCCCGGTTAAACCATAGTACATTTTATCGCTAGCCATGCGAGGTTCTCACTACCAGGAAGCCCAAGTAACTCCCATCAAGCACCAAGGCATCTTTCCCTTGGGCTCCTCCATGCGCCATTCCTCCCAAGATCACTCTTAAGCTAGAGGACCCTCTTGAATGTTAGCTTACCCAGTGTCCAACTGAGGCTGCCTTCCACAGGTGTAGTGTGTTCATCAATGTCATTCCCATACAAGCAGAGACCTGCCTCTAGTCTCAGGCTGTCCCGAGCTGCCAACCCTGCTAGCTTTACCTCCGGGTTTTTCAATAGAGCAGTTGCGAGGTGGACGGCCTCAGTAGCTGGCACTGAGATCTACAAGAAACACCAGAGCAGGTGAGCTGTTAGCCCAAGCTTGTGCCTTACAACCTTTTTCTTTTCTTTTTTTGCCAGTCCTGGGATTTGAACTCAAGGCCTGGGCACTGTCCTTGAGCTTCTTTTGCTCAAAGATCGTGCTCTACCATTTGAGCCACTTCTGGCCTTTTCTGTGTATATGGTACTGAGGAATCAAACCCAGGGCTTCATGCATGCTAGGCAAGCACTCGATCACTAAGCCACCTTCCCAACGGCACCCACTTTTTAACATACCTCTACACCATCTTCTCCTGTGTAGCCACAGCGGGTCACACGACAGCCAGACACGCCAAACACCTCCATCACTGCACTGGTCATGAAGGGCAGTTTCCTTAGGTCATCTGATACACCAGCCTGTAGCACCTGAGCAGCAGTGGGGCCTAGACCCAGGGAACCAATGACCAAGGGATCCTAGTCCCAGCACCCCTCAAAGCTAGGCTATAGTTTTGTTTTGTTTTGTTTTTTGCCAGTCCTGGGGCTTGAACTCAGGGCCTGGGCATTGTTCCTAAGCTTCTTTTGCTCAAAGCTAGCACTCTACCAATGAGCCACAGCGCCACTTCCGGCTTCTTCTGTTTAGGTGGCACTGAGGAATCGAACCTAGGGCTTCACACATGCAAGGCAAGCAATCTACCACTGAGCCACCTTCCCCAGCCCCTAGAAAGACCTAAACAAGTCATACTCGACAAGAGGGAGAAATTGACCTTGCCCCTGAAGCCTTGTAAAAGATGGGGAAAGGGGAAAATACCTGAGAGTGATGGTATATAAATATTGATCACTTCGTCTTTAAATGAGAAATGAAATCATGAAGGTCAAAGTTGGCTTGGCCAGCTTGGCCACCTCACCTTGCAGGGCTAGTAGAGCATTGTCCACCACCTGCAGGCCCACATCACTGCCCTTGTTCTGAAGCTCCTTGACCTTGTCCTGAAATGAAAAGCAGAAATACCATATCAGTTTCTGGAATCACTTTTTTTTTTTGGCTAGTCCTGGAGCTTGAACTCTAGGGCTTGGGCTCTGTCTCTGAGTCTCTCTGTGCTCAAGGCTAGATCTCTACTACTTGAGCCACTGTGCCACTTCTGGTTTTCTGAGTGGTTTATTAGAGATAACAGTCTCAGGGACTTTCCTGCCCACACTGGCTTTGAACCACACTCCTCAGCCTCCTGAGTAGCTAGGATTACAGGCATGAGCCACAGGTGCCCGGCTAGTAACCCGATCTTATAAGGTCATACAGCTACTAAGTGGTAGAAATAACCTAAGCTCAGATCTGTCACCTTATGCCTTCACCCAAAGATGTACACTAAGGGGACAGGATCTCACCCCTCCCTCACTTAATCCATCCCACCCCCACCAAACTCTAGTATGTTCCAGGGAAGGCCTGCTCTTAAGTCTCATAGCTGTTTAGCCACTCACTAAGTCCTTTTCCAAGCCCCCTTGTCTGCACTAGGTCTGTCCTAGATCATAAGGACTCTGTTTTATGAACAAAGAAAACGAAGTGGAAAGAACACAGAGGAACTTACCTGCATGAGGGCCAAATCCTTGTCCCAGCAGCCAGCATTCGATACCACATAGAGATACCCCTCAGAAGTATTGGTCACGATCAAGTCATCTAAGATGCCTCCAGTCTCATTGGTAAACAATGACAGTGTCCCCTGGTATCAAAGAAAAGCATCTTTGCTTCCAGATCCATTAAACCAAGGCCAAAAGATAAGCCAGACAGACCCTCAGACACACTTAAACACCAGACTCATGAACCTTGGTACAGCATTATGGATTCAATAGTCAAGGCTGGACTCAAATCCAGTGTCTTTAATCCTCATGATCTTTACCCACCTCCTGCGGCGCCCCCCCCCTCAGTCATATTAAACCAATCCCACCCAGACAACTCCACCCGTAGACCCCAGAATAAAAGCTTCAAAGTGGGGGCTGCGAAGACTTGCATGCATGACACCCTGGGTTTGATTCCTCAGCACCACATAAGCAGAAAAGGCTGGAACTGGTGCTGTGGCTCAAGTGGTAGAGCACTTGCCTTGAGCTGAAGAGCTGAGGGACAGCGCCCAGGCCCAGAGTTCAAGCCTCATAACTGACCGATAAATAAATAAATAATAAGCAAAAAAGCAGAGGTGGCTTCTGGGATCATCAACTAAGCAAGTAGATGGCCCCGAGTTCAAACCCCAAACCACCAAAGGAAAAAAATAAAGGATAAAAGACTCACCTGGTTTGTCTTTAGCTCTGCAATATCACCCACCACTAGATTCTCCATGAGCTTCACCCGGTCACGACCAAATATCTTGGTCTAGGAAAGATATTGAAAGCCTCAGGCCAGGATAACAGCTGCAATCCAAAAGGCCACTAGCTCTAGGAGGTCTCCTCTCAGCCATCCAAAGTGCAGTTTAGCTTACAAATAATGACCAGTCTTTTGGATCTGGAGGTATGAAAAGCCCCCATCCTCTCATTCTTCCACATTTCATAAGCCCAGGTGTGACTGAGGGAGGTATGGGTGACATCCTCTCCTTTTTCTTTTTTTGGCCAGTCCTGGGACTTGAACTCAGGGCCTGGGCACTGTCCCTGAGCTGCTTTTTGGCCCAAGGCTAGCACTCTACCACTTGAACCACAGTACCACTTCTGGCTTTTTCTGTGGTACTGAGGAATCAAACCCAGGGCTTCATGCATGCCAGGCAAACACTCTACCACTAAGCCACATTCCCAGCCCCTGGGAGACCTTTTAGAGGACCTAGTACCTTACTGAAAGCCTCCTTTTCAAACCACTACCCAGCACAGTAAATAAGAACAGTTGTCAGCTCTGGAAAAAACTAAAGGCATTATGTCACAGTGAGAGCAGGCAAGAGAGATTAGAGCTGGGTGCTGGTGGCTCACATCTGTGGAATCCTAGCTACTCAGGAGGGTGAGATCTGAGGATTGCAGTTCAAATCCAACCTATGCAGGAAAGTCCCTGAGACTTTTTTTTTTGTCGGTCGTGGGGCTTGAACTCTGGGCCTGGGCGCTGTCCCTCAGCCCTTCAGCTCAAGGCGAGCGCTCTACCACTTGAGCTACAGTGCCACTTCCGGTTTTCTGGTGGTTTATTGGAGATAGGAGTCTCACAGTCTCTCCTGCCCTGGCTGGCTTTGAACCGCGATCCTCAGATCTCAGCCTCCAGAGTAGCTAGGATTACAGGCGTGAGCCACCAGCGCCCCGCGTCCCTGAGACTCTTATCTCCAATTAACTACCAGAAAACTGGAAGTGGCGCTGTGGCTCAAATGGTAGAGTGCTAGCCTTGAGCAAAAGAGTTCAGGGAGGGGCTGGGAAGTTGTCTCAGTGGTAGAGCGCTTGCCTCACGTGCCTGAAGCCCTGGGTTAGATTCCTCAGCACTACATAAGCAGAAAAAAGCTGGAAGTGGCACTGTGGTAGAGTGCCAGCCTTGAGCTGAAGAGCTCAGGGACAGTCCCCAGGCCCAGAATTCAAGCCCCATGACCACCACCACCAACAACAAAAAGAGTTCAGGGATAGCACCCAGGCCCAGAGTTCAAGCCCCATGACCAGCAAAAAAAAAACAAACATTAAGACTCTTATCTCTTGGGCTGGGAAGGTGGCTCAGTGATAGAGCGCTTGCCTTGCATGCCTGAGGCCCTGGGTTCCATTCCTCAGCACATAAGCAGGAAAAAAGCCGGAAGTGGCGCTGTGGCTCAAGTGGTAGAGTGCTAGCCTTGAGCTGAAGCTGAAGAGCTGAGGGACAGCGCCTAGGCCCAGAGTTCAGGCCCCATGACCAGACCCCCAAAAAAATCCCTCTAAAAAAAAAAAAGACTCTTATCTCCAATTAGCCAGCAAAAAGTTCTAAGTGGAGCTGTTGCTCAAATGGTAGAGCACTGACCTTGAGTGGAAAAGCTAAGGTATAGGATGGCCCAAGCCCTGAATTCAAGCCCCAGAACTGGCACCAAAGAATACAATTTTAAAATTCATAAAAAAGACCTCTTGCCAGGCACTGGTGGCTCAAGCCTGTAATCTTAGCTACTCAGGAGGCTGAGATCTGAGGATCACGGTTCAAAGCCAAGCCTGGGCAGAAACGTCCTTGAGACTCTTATCTCCAATAAACCTCCAGAAAACGGGAAGTGGCTGCTGTGGGGGCTTAAGAGGTAGTGTGCTCATCCTGAGCTGAAGAGCTTAAGGTCAGTGCCCAGCCCAGGCCCAGAGTTCAAGACCCATGAGCCACCAAAAAAAAAAAACAAAAAACAAAACCTCAAAGTCCGGGTGTGGATGGCTCAGGCCTGTGATCCTAGCTAATCAGAAAGCTGAGATCTGAGGATCCCAGTTCAAAGCCAGCCCAAGCAGGAAAGTCCCTGAGATTCTTTTTTTTATTTTTATTTTTTTGGGGGGTACGGTTGTGGGGCCTGAACTCTGGGCCTGGGCGCTGTCCCTCAGCTCTTCAGCTCAAGGCTAGCGCTCTACCACTTGAGCCACAGTGCCACTTCCGGCTTTTTTCTTTTTTCTTATGTGGTGTTGAAGAATCGAACCCAGGGCCTTGAGCATGCAAGGCAAGTGCTCTACCACTGAGCCACCTTCCCAGCCCAGTCCCTGAGATTCTTATCTGCAATGAACCACCAGAAAACTGGAAGTGGCTTTGAGGGTCAAAGTGGTAGAGTACTAGCCTTGAGCAAAAGAGTTCTGGGACGGTGCCCAGTCCATCAAAAGAATAAAATAAAATCTCTAAGTCTTGTGGGAAGAATAATCTCCAAAATCTACCTCCCAGGAACAAATGCTGAAGAGCCCAGCGCTGTGGATAAAGAGGAAAGTTTGATCACTTTCCTGCCTTACCTGTAGCATGTGGGACACATCGAAGAGTGAGCAGTGCCGGCGTGTATGCAGGTGTGACTCAATGTGACTTTCCCGGTACTGCACAGGCAGACTCCAACCAGCAAATGCCACCATTTTCCCACCATGGGCCAGGTGGAAGTCATAGAGAGGAGTCCTGCGGAGTACATCCTGTGGGCAGCCAGCCATAGTACCACCAGGACTTCAGGTACCAGCAACCTTCTTCCCTCCCCCACCAGGCAACCCCCCTCCCCACCCTCCCAGATCGGCATCAGACCTCAGCACCCTTTATCCCACCTGTGCACAACTCAGTGAGCGACCTCGGACTGAGGGGAGAGTCGTCAGTCGAAAGCCAAGAGGGGACACAAGGCTCACAGCCCGCAGCATTGTCCACCAGCAGCTGGTGCAGACGGCACACTGAGGATACCACTCTGCTAGGCACGCTGGGAGATGTAGTCCAGAGCAGGGGCTTGGGCAGGTCTCTTGAGCCCGCAGGGGATCAGAAAACGAGGATAAGCCTGGAGGGCAAGCTGAGCTTCAAAGTTGCCTTGGAAGCCAACTCAGCTTTTAGGCCCTTCCCTCTGGCTATTCAAAACAGGTTAGACAATCCCAAGCCGATTAAGGCCTCCCAGAATCAGAGCTGGGGGCTACAATTTTCCTAAAGTGATCTGGCCAGGCTTCTAGAGGGTCAAAGTTCTACTCTGGGCTGAAAGGCCTGAATTACACATTCTAGTCAAATGGAAGGGGAGGCGGGGGTGGTTGGAGAGGTCATAAGAGAGAGCCAGCCAGGCAGAAGAAGTACTACTATAGCCCGGCCTCTCTAAGGGTCTCCAGCCCTCTGATTACTGATTGCACAGACTCTGACAGCCACCAAGTCATGCATTCCCCAAGTATTTATTTGACCTTGCTGTACATCAGGCCCTGTGCAGGGAGCCATAGCTGTGACCTCTCCCTCCCAACACAGGACTATAGTGATCACCTTTTCTATCAAAACTGGTTGGGGCTAAATAAATAACCCAGCAGCACCTTACCAAAAAAATAAACTTTTTTTTTTTGAAGAAAAGGCTGAGGGGTGAGAATGGAAGCTGGCCACCAAAAGATGACTTCACTTCCTTCAGAAAACTGTTCAGCACATAGGTGACTTCATTCTCAGATCTGAGACATCTTGTGACACAGCTTTGTCACAGCCCCCTCCCCCTCCCCCCCAAGAGCAAAGCCAGGAATAACTAGAGAGGAATAGTGTTGCATCATCGGAAGGAGGAATAGCCGTCATTATAGTCGGGCTGGGGTCTTGGAGGACCTCATTCTCTCAAAAGGCACCTCTGAGAAACTATTTGGACCTTACCACCACCACCGTCTCATCGTTTGAAGCATGACTAGAAAGCAATTGAAAGAACAGATATGGGGCGGGGGACAGATGTGGATGTGTTTTGGACAGTATCAAATGGCAGACAGGTTGCAAATCTCATTCTGAGCCCCTAGCATAAGCCAGGTGCTGGTGGCTCACGCCTATAATCCTAGCTACTCAAGAGGCTGAGATCTGAGGATCACAATTCAAAGCCAGCCAGGGCAGGAAGGTCTGTGAGACTCTTATCTCCAATAAACCACCAGAAAACCGGAATTGGCGCTGTGGCTCAAGTGGTAGAGCGCTCACCTTGAGCTGAAGAGCTGAGGGACAGACAGCGCCCAGGCCCAGAGTTCAAGCCCCATGACTGACAAAAGAAAAGAAAGGATGAAGGGCCAGGCACCCGTGGCTCAAGCCTATAATCCTAAATACTCTGGAGGCTGAGATCAGGGGATCTTGTTTCAGGTCTGTGGAGGCTCTTAACTCCAATTAACTACCAAAAAAAAAAAAAAAAGGCTAGAAGTGGAGCTGTGGCTCAAGTGCTAGAGCCCTAGCCTTGAGCAAAAAGCCTCAGGGACAGTGCCTAGGCCCTGAGTTCAAGCCCTAGGAACGAGAACACACACACACACACACACACACACACACACACACACAGACTGAGTTCAAGCCCTAGGAACGAGAACACACACACACACACACACACACACACACACACCACCACCACCACCACCACCACCACCACCACCACCACCACCACCACCACCACCACCACCACCACCAGAGGGAACAGAGGAAGGACTGAGAAGCATTTTCCTGGAGCTTCCTAGCTTATGGTTGATACCAAGGCATGGTCTTCTAGGTTGAAATGGAACAGGTTCACTTCAGTTCTCTGTACTTAAGGTGGGGAAACCAGGAGAAAACAGGCATATGTGGAGGGCAGAAAGCTTGAGAACTCTCTAGATTCTTAATATTCTTAGTAAGTATTCTTTTTTTTTTCTTGCCAGTCCTGGGGCTTGAACTCAAGGCCTGGGCCCTGAGCTTCTTTTGCTTAAGGCTAGCACTCTACCACTTGAGCCACAGCACCATTTCCAGCTTTTTCTGTCGATGTGGTACTGAGGACTCGAACCCAGGACTTCATGCATGCTAGGCAAGCACTCTACCACTAAGCCATCTTCCCAGCCCCAGTAAGTATGCTTAATAAGTATTCTTATTTGTATATTTGCAGGGTAGGAGAAGGGATTGCATTGCAGACAAAGACACAGTGCAACCTCCCACCCCAACCCCAGTCAGGAAGTCATACTGAAGCTATTCAGTGAGCCGGGTGAGTTTTGAATCTTTGTGCGTGGCCCAAACCAGAACACACAGTCAGGCAATACTCAAAATACACAGGGAAAAGGCTTCTGTGGTTTCTGGTGGCTCAAACCAAGCCTCAATGGATCCAAGTCTCAGGGAGGAGTTTCCATTCAAGTGTAAGAAAGTAAATTCAGGTCATAACAGCCATCCACCTGCAACAGAAAAGACAATCAGTTCTGACCTGCTCAGGACAATGCAAGCCAAGCAGAAGGAGGGAATAACTCACATCAAAGCGGCCGATCCTTGTAGAAGTATGATTGGCCCGGACCATTTCTGTCAGTGCCCACATCTGCTGTACTTCAGAAGATACTCGGCTGGGGTCTGGAAGACCCTGCTCCAAAAGGATGGGTCAGTAAACATGAGTCTCTCGTTAGTACCCTTAGAGCTATAAAGTGGGTAAATTGGCTATACAAATTTAAGCTGAAAGCAATAACATGTGAAACATAAAATATGGTAGACATCTCAACATCTCAAATCCTGCAAAGCACCTAGGATGTCACAGTTTGACACAAGAATACTGAGTCCAGCTCCAATTTTTTTTTTTCCTGTCAGTTGTGGGGCTTGAACTCTGGGCCTAGGTGCTGTCCCTCAGCTCTTTAGCTCAAGGCTAGTGCTCTACCACTTGAGCCACAGCGCCACTTCTGGTTTTCTATTGGTTTATTGGAGATAAGAGTCTCATGGACTTTTCTACCCGGGCTGGCTTTGAACTGTGATCCTCAGATCTCAGCATCCTGAGTAGCTAGGATGACAAGTGTGAGCCACCAGCACCCGGCTTCTTCTTCTTCTTCTTTTTTTTTTTTAATTCTTTTGCCAGTTCTGGGCACTGTCCCTGAGCTTCTTTTGCTCAAGGCTAGCATTCTACCACTTGAGCCACAGTTCCACTTCTAGCTTTATCTGTATATTTGGTACTGAGGAATTGAACCCAGAGGCTTCCTACATGCTAGGTAAGTACTCTAGCACTGAGCCACCTTCCCAGCCCAGCTCCAGATTCTTAAAGAAAGGAGTTTGTTCACCTGGGCATTTGCTGGACCACAATCATTCACTCATAGTTCTTACCCAGGGTGAGTGTTTACCTCAGGGAGTGGAGGAGGCTGTTCACAGGGCACTGGATGGGAGAGCCACTTGGGGAAGGCCACAGAAGGACTCTGTAAAAGCAAAGGCATATTGTTCTGATGAGATGAGGGCAGAGAGAAAGGGCCTTTTGGGGGGAGGAGGGTCAGTCATGGGGCTTGAACTCTGGGCCTGGGCGCTGAGCCTCAGCTCCAGGCTAGCACTCTACCACTTGAGCCACACCACCACATCTGGTTTTCTGGTGGTTCATTGGAGATAAGAGTCTCACAGATGTTTCCTGCCTGGGCTGGCTTTGAACCTCGATCCTCACATCTTAGCCTCCTGAGTAGCTAAGATGACAGGCATGAGCCACCAGTGCCCAGCTGAGAAACGCCTTTGTGCAGACATGACAAAATCCTGATTAAGGAGCGAGCTCACACAAGCCCAAGGGGACAGCAATAAGATCTCCTGCTATACATAAGGAAAACGCAGAAGACAGAAACTTATTCCTTATCATAAATTGCAGTATTTACACTCAAATTTCAATGAAAGCTTCTTTTTTTTCTTCTTATTTTGCCAGTCCTGGGGTTTGAACTCAGGGCCTGGGCACTTGCCCCTGAGCTTCTTTGGCTCAAGCTAGCACTCTACCACTTGAGCCACAGTGTCATTTCTGGCTTTTTCTGTATATGTGGTACTGAGGAATTGAACCCAGGGCTTCATGCATGCAAGGCAAGCACTCTACCACTGAGCCACCTTCCCAGCCCCTGAAGACTTCGTTTTGGAGTCCTTTTATCCTCTCCCTGCGGTTGCAGCTTTCCCAACCATAGCCGGAAGTCTCTTGGGGAACAGGCCAGGCAACAATTTGGGGCTAGTCACTAACCTTGGGTCCCTGATGGTAGATTTGTAGTTCCTCCACTGTGAATGATAGCCATAGTGGTGATGGCTGCCGCAGAATCAGACGCAGCTCCAGTATTTTGGACATGTCACACAGCATCTGACACATAACATACACACACACATTGGATCCACAGAAATCCATAAAACCCAGGTCAAGCCAGATACCAGTGTCTCATGCCTGTAACCCTAACTACTCAGGAAGTTGAGATCTAAGAATCATGGTTCAAAGCCAGCCCAGGCAGGAAAGTCCATGAGTCTTATCTCGAATAAACTACTCAGAAAAAGCTGGAAGTGATACTGTGGCTCAAGTGGTAGAGGGCTAGCCTGGAGCAAAAGAAGCTTAGGGACAGCACCCAGGCCCTAAGCTTGAGCCCTAGGACCAGCAAAATCCACAAACAAACAAAAAAAGATAGAACCTCCCAAATAGCAGTATACCAAGAAGGATACCAGATGTTCCCTTCCTTCCTCTGCGAAGGAAGGAAAAATAGTCCCTCCAAGGTTATAGTCTTAGAAGTCACTACCCAGCCCAGTCTTGTCCCCTTTTTCCTCCTGCTACACTGGCCTAATCCGCAGGCCACATCCGGGCTAGTCCTGGCATACAGAGGCCCAGCTGACCTGGTGCTTGAACAAGGATACATAATCCTGCGCTCCCTCTTCACTGTGTGGGTCAGGCATCAGACAATAGTTCCGCAGACAGGTCACCCATTTGGTTGGTGTGTGCACTGAGGTGTGTTGACGGACACGGATGCTCAAAAAGGCTGTGTAGTAATTTTTAAATGTGATCTCCTGCAACTAGAACACACATGATAACAACAATTCACCATGAAAAATTAGGAAGAGGACCAGGGCCCAAGAGATTCCATGATCTCATCGCTTCATTTCTTTCTTTCCTTCCTTTCTTTCTTTCTCTATCTTTCTTTCTTCTTTTCTTTTCTTTTTTTTTTTGGCTAGTCCTGGGGCTTGAAAGGCTAGCTCTCTACCACTTGAGCCACAGCACCACTTCCAGCTTTTTCTGGTTATGTGGTACTGAGGAATCGAATCCAAGGCTTCATGCATGCTAGGCAAGCACTCTACTGCTAAACCACCATCATTTCATTTCTTTTGGAATATACTCTTCTACTAAACAATTCAAAAAGCATCACTAGGACCCAAAGACATGTTTGCATTTCTAAAGTTGCTCACAGTGTGAATGGATAAGTCACTAATACAGACCACAACAACA